GTGTGTATGTGCGCGCGCGCGCGTGCGTGTTCCTAACTCAACTTAGAGTTCTTCCATGGCTGGTTTTTATATCTTCGTAGTCTCCATGTTCTGGCACAGAGCCTGGCATAGGCTAGTCCCTTAATAAATTTTGGACTGAACTGGCTTTTTTGCTATTGTTTTGCATTTATATATACATCTTTAATTTTAAGCTTTCATGTGCCTCTGTATTGTTTCTTCAGGTTGAAAGGGCATTTCTGTGGGCAGCTGTTAGGGCTATTTACAAATATTCTAGTTCTCTTCTTCCTTCTGGGAACCCTGTGGAATTATACTTCCCATTCCCTTTAAAGTTAGGGATAGCCATGTGATTTGTCTTGGCCAATAAAATATGAATAGAAATACTGTGTGTCATTTCCTGGAGAAAGCATTTAATTACCCAGTGCAAGAAGTTGTCACCATCTCCTCCTCCTGCTATACTGAAAGCACAAGAGGAAACGGAGCCTTCATCAGCCTGGGTCCTTGGGTGACAGGTGAGCATGTCCTCCTGCTGACCTGTGCTTGAAAGTGTAGCATAAGTAGAAACAACTACAGTAATACCTTGGTTTGCAAGCACAATTCGTTCCAGAAACTACTCGTATTGCAAGACATCACTTGTTTACCAAGTTGAAATGTATTAGAAATGTTTGCTCATCTTGCGGAACACTCGCAAACCAAGTTACTCGCAATCCAAGGATTTGCTGTATTAGCATCGACTGAGATGTGCGGATTATTTATTGTGGTCACATAATCTCGCCTCTCTTGACCCCTCTGTTCCTGAGGAACCGCTGATATTTGTACCACTGATTTGTCCCACTGATATTTGTCTCCACCATGCCATCTTCAAAACAGGCTAGAATAAAAACATTGCATTTAAATTTTTATGTCAGATTTTTCCTAATTCATAGTGTCCAATTTCAAATATTCTTCTCTTACCTGTTTCTCCTGTCTCATGACTAAAGTACAATTTCTCTTTCCTCTGGGCACAATTACGGTTTTTAAAATACAACAATTAAAATTTCTCATCAGTTCATAATACTCCAGTGTTGCTCACTCAGGTACCATTCTGTGTTGAACAAAATGGCTGTCCTCTGATGACTGAAAAATCCCACAGCACAGCTGTAGGCCCAACTCTGCAAGGGGCCAGACAAGGGACGCTGCAGGCACATGCATGCAGCCTTTACAAAGCCAAGGGCTTATAGCAATCAGCTTACTAGGGGACATGAGTGTTGCAGCACAGGTCTCCCTGTGTCCTCTGCCCCAGCAGGTGGCACAATGACATGGCAATAAAGGTAATGACATTTTCCTCCATTTGCCTTGATAAGCATTTAAAAAAAAAAAAACCACCTCATTTTTGAGCATATAATCCTAGAGGGAAAAAAATTCCTCTTTCTATGATCCACTTTAAACTGCACTGTTAAACAATGGAATATTAAAAGAGTTCCAACACAGAGAGAGCCTCTTCCTGAGAGAAATGCCTAAAGTACTTATTCTCTCTGTGATCCCTGTGGTAACTTGAAAAGCCTATTTTTTCCCCCTTCCCTATGTAAATGTATTATAGATCCTAACTTTATTTCGTGCACATGGGCAGAGAGCCAGCTACTGTATGCTCTACTTCATAGAGCTATAAACAAACCCCCACGACCTCACTATTTCTTCCTCCTCTGAACAGTTCTAACACAGGGCCCGTTACTTCCTCCGGCGGCCACACCTCCAAACACACCATTTTATAGGAAAAGGGCCAACTAACCATGACCCATTGTTTAATATCCTGGAAATTAAAATTAAATGCATAGGGACTGTCTCAATGGTTATATGTTTTCTATAATCAATTTCAAATTCTCAGCTTGAGTTATCACAAAACCTTGAATTTTAACTTGAAGTTTTCATTTTTATAAAGGCCACATGTTTTATTTTGGAGGGAAATGTGTCTACACTTACTATAACTACAATATAACTTCCTAAAGTTATATACTTTCTGAAGGATGACCAAATCTTCAGCTTAAAAATAGGCTTTTTATAATGCTTTTTTTAATTTAACAAAATCAATCTGAAGAAAAAAATCCAGTGTTTTTTTGTTTCAACCTAAACAAAGTGCTTAGGGACCACAGGAAATATTTCTCTAGTGTAAAACACACGTGAGTCCTCAGGTCTATGTTGTGAATGGAATAGGTCTCCCGCCCCATAACAACCATAACCACAGCCGGCATTAAAAGGGCTTTATTTCCTTAGGATGGGGCACTGGGGTGGGTAGCTGCTTTGCACAGTTTAAAATCTATTAACATAATACCGAGAAGAAGCCACAAAGAAAAAAAATCGATTGGTCCAAATACTCAAATATTTAAAACTACAATACTAAAATAATACTAAATTTAAATGATAAATAAAAATTAGAATATTTGCAACATAATATCTTAACACAGCGAGATCTTTTACAAACCAACTATACACACACACAAGGTAAATTGTGACCAGTACATCTATGGAAAGAAAGGGAGTTAACCTCTTCAAATGACATTTTTCTCTGAGCATATAAGCGGAGATTTTAAAACCACTACTTGGGGAGAGCATAGAGCATACTTCTGGTGGTAATCAGCATTGATGCCAACTTTGGGGAAAGTAATTCGACTACACAAGAGGTCTGACAATTAAGTTTGTGAACTTGTTGCAATGATGTTGCTAACCTTTTTTTGATATCAGAGGGATTCTTCATTATGAATTTGTACCAACTGGACAAACAGCTAACCAAGTTTATTATTTGGAAGTGCTGAAAAGGCTGTGTGAAAAAGTTAGATGACCTGAACTTTTCGCCAACAATTCATGGCTCTTGCATCACAACAATGCACCAGCTCACTCAGCACTGTCTATGAGGGAGTTTTTAACCAGGAAACAAATAACTGTATTGGAACACCCTCTCTACCCACCTGATCTGGCCCCCAATGACTTCTTTCTTTACCCAACCATAAAAGAAATATTGAGAGACATTTTGATGACATTCAGGACATCAAGGGTAATACTTCGACAGCTCTGATGGCCATTCCACAAAAAGTTCCAAAATTGCTTTGAAGAGTGGACTAGGCGCTGGCGTCGGTGCATAGCTTCCCAAGGGGAGCACTTTGAAGGTGACCATAGTGATATTCAGCAATGAGGTATGGAGCACTTTTTCTAGGATGAGTTCGCAAACTTGTTAGACCTGTATATCAAAACCCCCATAAATGGGGGTTCCCTTAAACTACCCATTCTAATTCTAGGTATTTGACCTCATCTAATCATTAGACAGGTGTTTATAAGGATTTTTATTGCAGCGATTTTGATACACAACCACACAGAAAAACATCTGCAAGGATATATACCAAAATACTAACTCTGATTATCTACAGATAAAACCTAAAAAAACAAAAAAAACAAAAAAAAACCACTATTTTTTTTCATTTTATTACTCATTATACTCATATGTCTAAAGTTTCTATAACAAACACCAGTAGTTTTGTAACAATTTGCCTTGTTTTTATTTTTTTCTTCAGAAAAAGAAGGAACTTTGAAAGCATAGAGATGGTGTGTGGAATGTGGAAATTCCTATCCACAGTTACCCACAAGACAAATTTTATTTGAATCGATTCAATAAGGCAGATTAAATGTGAAAATGAAATGGCTGTTCCCTCACACAGCAAAATTCTTGCTTCTTTTTCTGGCTACTTCCACCTGCTCAAGGAAGATGTTTATCACCCCATACAAGTTCTAGATAATTTTGGCCATAAAGTCACAATTGCCCATACCTGCACAATGATTTTTTTTTTCTTTTAATGAGACCAGATACCTGAGCAAAATGCCTTTGTTTGGGAATGCAGGCTACAGCAGGTAGTGGTAGAGAAATTGACTCCAGCTTTCCGGAGAGCACCCAAAGTCAGAAAGCTCCCCTTTTTCATACATCACGTCCTGGTGGCACACTGGAAAATGGCAGCAAGCGAGGACGGCTGAGCCTAGACACAGCATCCTGAACACGCCTGGGAGGTGGCCAGACTGGCAGGCCTAGGGCTGCACTGGCCGCACGCCACAGCGGTAACACAGCAGTGTGTGCCCACAGCAGTCACACACTGACAATCAGTTTGGCGGTGTTTCCAACCCCGGCTGAAGGATTTTGTTTTCCTCGTATTAGGCAATGGCAAGATTTCGAATGGACCAAACATTTTATATTCGTGTTAACAGCACTAATGCAGCTTCGGCTGGCAGAAGCGAGAGAAACCAAGAATATCTGCGTTACTTCCTCCAGAGAAACCTGCTGCGAGCCACCTGTCCTCAGCCACCACCACCCCCACCCAACGTGGCCCTTTCTATACTTCACCCCTGCTCAGCTTTGCGAGCCCCTCGCCCCAGCCTTGGCCCAAGAACCCGAAGTCCCAGTGTTTCCCTGAATACGGCGATGTGGGAAGTTCATTTCAACAGAGCCATTGCTAACACAAAAGATCTCTTGATGCTGCAAAGTATTCTTAGTTGTCCAGCTGCGAAAATTATCCATTCCTCCAACCTTCACTCTAAGACCGAATGCAGTGTTTCCTCCATATAACATGGGGTAGCGGGGGCTGGACCAAACGCCTTGGGAAAACCAGAGCTCTTGTACTCTAGGGTCTACAAACCGGTTCACGGTTATAAGCGTGGAATCAACTCGGCAACAGGAAGTAGGTTGCATGCGGCGAAGACAGGTTTCCAAAACACTACCAACCACACGCAGTGTTTACATTTGTGTCTGGTTGATTTTTGGAGAGACATTGGCCTTTCAGAAATAAACTGTCCCACTCTGAAAAACCAGAGGAATATATATTAGTAAGTCAATCAAGAAGACCAAACCCAGATCCCATAGTGATTACAGTGCTATATTTGATGTATGTGGACTGCAAGGGAGAATATAAAAATAAGAATCCCCAAGAGAAACAAACTCAATAGCTTTTTTTGTTAAAAATAAAAGCCAACCATTTATACAAAGGTAGTTCAACATTTATTTATAAATGTGTTTAAAAGAGTACAAAAGATTTAATTTTTTTTCTTTGGCTCACGTTTGTACACGGGATTAAGAAAGGGATTAACAATCTAAAAAGATGTTGAAACTTCCCCAGACCTGATCTGAGAATTAGCCGCTTAGAGAGACAAGCAAGCAGCATCACAGCTCTCACTAACAGGGAAGCATCAAATGATTCCCCATTTTCTATCTTACTAACATTGCTGTAATTATACTTCCAATAAAAGAAGCAAAACTAATTAGAAAGATCCTGTAACATTTCCCTGGCAGTAGAGATTAAATATAAGTTCAGTGATCAGCTCCTGCAAACTTGCATGAACAACAGCAGGGAGAAGAAACCTGTTGCCCAGCTGCTCAGCTGAGTGGGTGGGCAGCTGAAGTCAAGGTCAGGGTGGTAAGGATGCACAAAATCGCACTGGAAGAAAAGCATCTCATGAACGTTTTCAATGTCAATTGACAAAGGCCAGATGTCAGTCAATATTTCTCACATATCCTGAAAGAAAAGGAAAACAAAATTACTGCAAGCAGCAAAACAAAATTCAAAGCCTTTGTAAGTCCACAATAAGATTCCTTCAAAGAACACTCTTAATACCTCAGGCTTAAGTGACTATTTGTTAATGATTTCAAGTCCCAATGAAATGATTGGATTTTCAAGTCCCATTGCATTCCTCTCACAATGTAGTCCCTGTCAACAACAATGGCTTGTTGAGTAATGAGGGCTCATCAGCTGTGTTCTTAGAGATAGGCTGACATGGGTCACAAATAATAACGCTCACACATATTGTCGCCCACCTCCATAGTTACAGCAAGGACAGGACGAACAGTGTGGAGTAGTGCAATTTAAATGGAAGTTGCATTGTATTAGGCAGCAGGAAGGTGACATCTAAGTGGACCCTGAAGAACGGAGACAGACTTAAATGAGTCTGCCCCAAACCACGTGCAAAGGTCAGGAAATCACCAAGTCTCCCAGAAGGCTGGACCAAGTTACACTCGGCATTCAGGCTGCTGCTGTTCTAACACTCTGGGAAACTAAAATCTCAGGTTGTCCCTGAGGCCAAGGCAAATGCTCAGCTGCCCTCGAAGACAAAGGAGTTAGAGTTCCCATAATATCTCAAAGGGTCTCACCTACTGGTATCAGAGAAAGACCGTTTGAAGTGATTCAATGTCCCACATTAGGTGCATCATGAAAACTAATAGACTCTAGAAAACCGAAATGCATTTTTTTAAAATGCAAAAGCAATTTTAAATCATCAAATAAATATGTATTAAGTAATATGAGAAGAATGTGATGTAAATTTTAACAGGTTTAAAAATAAAGGTCAACTGAATTTGTGCACCCAACACATTTATCAGAGGCCTGCTGCTTAAGTTTCTATATGATGCTTCAGGAAACTACTTTTTCTTTTGTTGGCTTTCATCTTAGTTTTATCACATTTTCCACCTCCTTCCTCTCCTTTTGTCTTTGGCTTTTTACTGGCTCCAATATTTCCTCTAAGCCCCATCTGAGAGTTGGGACTAGCTTTCCTCATTCCTTGGGGGAGCTCAATCATCATCTATCAGCTTCTAAATAAATGACACACTTTTCATATTTTCCATCTACTAAGCTTTTGTTAGCTTGTTATTTACAAAACATATTCAGGACAAAAGTTTATGGCTTCTTACTTTTGTATGTTGTCCTTTGACGAATAGATGTTTTGTTTTAATGTATATTTGCCATTTCTTTTTGGTTTATACTTTGGGTCTTATGAAATCCTCCCTAGCTCAATTTTATAAATAGTTTATTCTAAAATTTAAAAGGTTTAATCCACCTGGGATTGGTTTCTTTTGAATAGTGTTAGGAAGGGACAGATTTTCATGTGGGTAACTACGTCCAATTGTCTCAACAATTGGATAAGTCCTTTTTGTTGAAAAGTCCATTTTCCCCCAGGGATGTGCTCTGCCTTTTGTCATACATCAAAATTCCAGAAATGGTTGGGTCTGCCTGTGCCAATTTCATATGATATTAAGTATTTCATTAAGTGCCCATACACACTTCTTTATCTTCAGGAGTGAATTGGCTGTTCTTGGTTCTCTGCTTTGATTAGAACTTAAGTAAATCTATAGATTATTTGAGAGCTCATCCCTATTCATTAACAAAGTATAACTCTCCATTTACTTATTCGTTAATGTTTTCCTATAAAAATTGATGTATTTTAAAAAAGGTTTTGTACATCTTTGATTAGATCTATTTATTAGGTTGTTTTGTTTATTCCAATGTGTAGAAACAAAGTTAGTTTTCATATACTGATCTCATATCTACCAACAATGGCTGGGTGGCTATTTATTCTAATAATTTGAATATAAATTCTTTTGTACTCTCTAGGTAGGTAACTGTATCATGTGTGATTTATAAACTTTTTCTTTTTCAATCCTTATATCTAATTTAAAGAAAATGCCATTGATACATTTTGATGATAGGTTTTTGATGCCTTTCTATTTTAGAAATTTCCTTTCTATTTCTAGTTTGCTAGAACTTTTTATCACAAATGAATATTAAAAATTATCAAATGCTTTGCTTTCTCTGTATCTATTGAGATGATCATATGGTGTTTGTCCTATAATTTATGAGGTGAATTATCTCAATTTTTTGTTTTATTTTTTAAAAATTCATTTATGATAAACCAAGCTTACATTTTGGGATAAATTTGATAAGGACATATTTTTCCTTTAAAAATATTCATTATTGAATCTATCAAAATTTTGTGAATTTTTTTGAATCTGTTTGTAAGATGATTTTTTTTTTCCCTGTGTAGTCTTTGCCTGATTTTGATTGAAAGTTACATTCCCCTGCTTAATCCTTTTGGGGATTACTTCTTCCTTTTCATTTATCTAAAGAAAACTCTATAGACATTTGGAATAATCTGTTCCAAAAAAACATTTGGTAGAACTTTTCCATACTATGTCTAGGCCTGGTTTTTAATTTATGAGGAAATGGTAACAAATTAACCTGCATGGTGTTTGTATCATTTTGAATTCCCACCAACAAAGTATAAAACAACCTATTTCTCCACAGCCTTGCTAACAAATATATTGCCAATCTTCTGTTTTCTGAGGATTTTTTTTTTGGCCAAATAATAGATGAGAATAGTATTTTGGTTTAGTTTTTCATTTTTATTCCTTTTATTATGATAAGTTCATTTAGTGCTTTAATTTCAATGATTATGTGTTTTTATTCCTAAAGGTTCTGGTTTGTTCTTTTTTCAAATCTTCTTGGTTGTTTTTGTCTCTTGTTTGAACTCATTGTTTTAAATCCAGTATTTATTTCATCAAATATTTTATACACAGCTATTTTAAGTTCATCATCTAGTCATTTCAATATATCACATCATTTAGTTCTAAACCTTTGCTGTTTGGGTGAACCAATCACAGCCACCTTTTTCCTTATGCATGTGTTAAGTTCCAGTCACCGTTTTGTTATGCTTGGGATACAACCAAAGGGCCCTGCTCTGATGGCATGTGGACATAAATTACCACAGGGGGAGACGAGGAGTAAATAGTCAACAAAACATACAAATACAATGATGTTACAAGTTGCTGAGTGCTATAGAGAAAGGAAGTGGAGCCCAGAAAGGGGATGATGAGAGCCAGGGGTGAAAGCAGAGGTGTCAGCATGAACCAGGGGACCAAGGAACCCTCACTAAGGAGGAATTCAAGGGAATACTCCAAGGCGGACAAATCCTATGGATATTTTGGAGAAGAGCGTAGAGGGAGCAGCTAGTGCAAAGGCCCCAAGGTGAGAGCAGCTGGTTCCTCAAGGTTTCAACAGTAAGAAAGCAAGTGTGGCAGGGAGGACCAAGAGGCAGAGCGGTAGGAGGGTGCCCGCGGGGTAAGGTGGAGTCTGGATCACGTAGCACCTGGTACGCTACTGTAAGGACTTTGGCTTTTCCTCCAAGTGACTGGAGAGTCGTGGAAGCCGCTGGAGGCTTTTGAGCAGAAGCTGACAGGATCTGACCTCTGTTTCAAAGGGATCATTCTCATATAGAGAACGGACTCTAAGTGGGGAAGGGCAGAAGCAACAAAACCACCTGGGAGATGATTTCAAGAATCCAAGTGAGCACTGATGGAGGTTGGAGGCAGGATCACGTGGGGAAGGGAAGCTGTTGGCTTGGACATATTTTGAAGGACGAGTCAAGAATATTTCCTGGTGGATCAGCTATGGGGGGATGTGAGGGATGGGTTGTACCATTATGCAAACAGGAAAAAGTCCAGATAGAGTGTTGGGGTAAAGGGATTGAAGGTTAAATTTTAGACATGTTAAGATTGAAATGTCTGTTAGAGACAAAAGCAGACATGTTGAGCAGACAAATGCATATGCAAGCCTAGAGTTTGGAGAAAGAGGTCTAAGCTGGAAATAGAAATTTGGGAGTTATAAGCATATAGATAGTATTTAGTTTCATGAGAATGAATGGGGCTGCCAAAGGTATCAAGTGAACATAAAGTTCAGAAAGTGGTCTAAAGTAGATCCCTGAGGCACCCCAATGTTGAGAGGACAAAAAGATGCAGGGGATTTGGCAATGAAGAATGAAAAGGTGTGGCCACTGAAATAGGTAGAAACCCAGGAGAGTACGGGTTCCCAAAAATCATGTAAGGAAACAGTTTCAAAGAGAAGGGAGTGATTCACCATGACAAATGATGCTGATAGGTCCAAAAGTGAACCCTGAGAAATAACCACTGGATTTGCAATGTGCATGCTGTTAGGCAGCATGACGAGAGCATTTCTGTTGGGCAGGTAAAGTCTAAAACCTGATTACAGGGCCGGCTGAGTGGCTCAGTTGGTTAAGAGCTCGCTCAAGAGTTTGAGCTCTGAGCAACAGCGGTTCGAGTCAGCCCGAGCTGAGTAGCCGTGAGCTGCCAACAGGTGGCGGGATGGCTCAGCTAAAAAAAAAATAAATAAATAAAAAATAAAACCTGATTACAGTGGGTTTAAGAGGAATGGGAGGAAAGAACTCAGAGACAACAAGGATGGATACCTCTCGAAGTTTTGTTCCAAAGGGAAGAGACAGCAAGAGGGCAAGGTGGTAATGATTTATACTTATTAGTGTTTTATGCTGATGGGAATTTTCTAGTTGAGTAGGAACATCTGAGAGTTCAGAATGGGGGAGTATTTTTAGAACAAAGTCCCCCAGTCAGTGGAGACAGAAACTCTTCCACAAGGAAGAGCAGGCATACAGACAGAGATGTCCGTAGGCAAGTAGAGATGGAGGTGGGAATGGAGCCCGAGTTCTCACCTCTCTGTCACGCTTCTTTCAAGTCAGGGAATAACCTCTTTAACTTGAACATGTCTGTCCTACTAAGGAAACGTCAATTTCCCTCACTCACATCACATCATGAGGAAACAATGCTCCTCCCCTCTTTTCCAGCTGTGAGGCACCAAAGCAAAGATTTCCAGTTCACTTCCGTGAGCCTGCCAACCGCCACTGGTGAGCTGGGTCCCCCAGTCCTTTCCCTGAGCAGCAGCCCATGTCTTAATAGTTATCGTTTACTCCCTCCCATCAGCTGCCCCTCAACACCAGGTGTTTTTCTAGGCACTTTCTAAATTTGGCGAGTGGTTTGGTAGAGGACAAAATGTGCACCCAGTTTCCAAGTCCTGTCCAAAATCTGAGTTTCACTCATGTTTCATAATTTATAAATTCCACAAACTTGGACAATAAACTCACAGTGCCCCACGTTCCACAGGACTCCTGCTCACGTTCTTATGACCACGTCAGTAATTTGTAAATTGTAACACATGACGCAAAAACCCTCTGTTGAGATTCTTTTCTATCTCTGTTTTCTGAATGCGCTAGTGATACACGTGACCATACGTTATGGACGAATGCACACACCCACTGCACAGTCTCTGCAAATTTGCCTGCGTTCTATTATCTTCCCCATAGATACATTTGTGAAATCGACCAATTTTAACCACTGGATGCCTTTTAAGGAGACATGCATATAAGATTTCTAACAGGTTGTCTTCTCAAAAATGATCTTTTGTCCACTATTTATTCAAGAGTGATCTCTATAGAGTTTCTAGGTCGGCAAGCCCTTGATTATTTTGTTGCATTTAACCAGTTTAAAGATTTCCATCTGTTTTTTTGTTTGTTTGTTTGTTTGTTTGAGTAGACACATATGCACCTGGGCTTTAATTGAATTGTAAAGCCTGCTGTAGTTGTTTTGATTCTGTACACAGTGCAAACCCCACAATTACATCACGCTGAAGGCTCGGTGCTGCCTCAATAATATACGGGGAGCGCAACTCACATTAAACTCACATTGCAAGTTGCAAGCTTTTCTTCACAGGAATCTGCAAGGACATTTCATTTCCCAAAGCTGCCTTTTGCTGCAGGGTTTTTTAAAAAAACATTTTGTAGTGAAAAACTAAATATTGGTTTCTTTAATATGCTAGTTACACTGAAAAAAAATGTATTACTAGAGAATGCTTACTATTTCTATAACCATATTTCACTAAAAATCTTCCTTAAAAAGAAATGTTCATTTGTTTTTGTTGCAAGTCTGGGCCAGGGGGGATAAAAAGCTTTACAGTCTAGGTGAACACACTGAGAACAAAGGGCAGGTGCCGTTTTTTTACTGTGATTGGCCGGAGCTGAAATCAGGATTTACCTCCCTCTCAGAAGCTATTGTGGAATTTACAGTAATCACCCTGGCTGACTGCCCACCACACAGCTGAACAGCACACCAAACAAATATCTGGGGAGAAGGCCGCAACATATTTTTAAAATTCTCATTGTTTTTCTTCTTCAACTCAGAAAGATTGTTTTTTAAGAGAAAAAGAACAAAAACTCACCCAGCTGCTCCCACTATTCATATTCCAATCGCCTCCAAAGTGCTCCAGGCCACCTGGTTGACTTCTGCCTTGGAGTCGGTCCAGAAAAGCATTATTTACCCTTTAAAACAATGAGAAATGTGTGTAAGTGAAAAGCTTGCTGCAGGGCTGAGAGGTTTTTGAAACCCTAATGTGCTGTATGACTGACTGTGGGATTGCTTGCTTCCTTCAGCTTAGAAGAAATCTACGGAAAATTCTTTTCCCATTAACCATATGACATGCTGTTAACAGCCCTATGCTGGAGCGGGTGCCAGTTATGGCTCAGGCCGGAGGGGGCCCAATTCTTTACTCCCCAGTTTTACTTGCCTGTCTTCTCAAGCAACTATACCCCTACAGCCATGTCAGGTACGGACCCCAGAGGCTAAGGAAAGATGGAAGCTTCAGCAAGACCTACGACATGAAGAGAAAACAAAAGTAGCAATGTGGCACTGCTGCTGCAAGCTGGGTGTCCCTCCCATGTGCCAGTCTTGCTAAAGTAAATCCCACCAGTGAAAAACAGAAGGGAACCGGGAAGAGCATATGGGAAAGAGGAAACATCAGAAGAAGAAACCCTGAGCTTTTAAAAAGAAGGTATGGGCACGTCTTTCCTCTACTTTCCCAAGTATGACGTTAGGTCATGCTGGCAGCAACCAATTTCAGAAATTAAGTTTAATGCACAGGAGGCGAAACCATAAAGAAATGCAAGACAGTGATTATCATAAAGTCAGAATGAGGGCTAACTGTAGGGTGGTGGTTATATATTCTATTCCTGGAGCTGGCTCACCTGGGTGATCACTTCATAATTAATCATCCTAAATATGTGTTTCATGGTCTTGTGTATGCCTGTCCTACTAAGGAATTTTAAATTTAAATCTCTTAATTTAAACAGGTAAATTAAAAGCAACAGCATGCTCTGAGTTGCCTTGATATATCTGAGTAGCATCAGGGAGCAGAAGGCTGGAGAAATAGCATTGAAGTAGGTACCCCGTGATGTCAACAGGTTATTGAAAAACAGCATCATTAAGACCATAAGCTTCATGGCTGAAACAGTGCCTGGTGCACAGCAGCAACGCGATATGAGTTAATGGGAGTAAGGATAAGCTGGACCCAGGCACACTGGCCCCCTTTCAGTCAGGAAGATGAGCAGAACATGGTCATGGTGGGTGGCAGTAAGGTGGCGACTGTGGGAGGTTCAGGAATCCTGAGGATAATGACCGCTGGGTGGCAGTCACAGGCTGGGTTTGGTTGTTTTTTTGGTTTTTCTTTTTTGCCTGTCTCTATTTGCTCAGGGCTAAAATGCCGACTCAGCTGGATCTCTAGTTTATTGGGTTGCTGTTTTTTTTTATTTTTTTTTTATTTTAAAAATATGTTTATTATTATAAAATAAGATATACATATAATAAAATGATTCCAAGTAGCATAAAAAGTTATGAAATAAGGAGGGCTTGCCTGCCACCCCAGAGCACCAAATTTACTTCTGACAGTTATTATCATCAACAGTTTCATATGTATTCTTCCAAAATTTTGCCATGGCTATATAGACATGAGTGTCTGTAGCTGTTTCATATTTATACAAATAGACATTTTTTATACACACTTTTCCCTACTTTGTTTTTATTCAATGATATATCTTGAGTTCTGTTTTTTAACACATACAGATATACCTCATTCTTTAAAAGCTGCTTCATATTCTTTTATATAGATGTAACATAATTCATGTAAAAACTCCCTATTGACAGAACCAAGGTTATTTCCAGATTTTGGCTTTTATAAGTAAAATTATAGTAATCATTTTTGTATATATATCTTTGTGTATATGTGTATATGACTAGGTAAATTTCTAAAACTAAGATTACTAGATTAAATAGTTATGTACAAAGAGTTTCTCAGTCTATATTCCCACAAACAGTACTTATTTCTTCATCACCTTCCCAGCACTGTGTTATCAAACTTTTAAATCTTTCTCATTTGATATGTGAAACACAGAATCTTAATATTTTAATTTGCATTTCTTTTACTGTGACTAAAGTAGACATTTTCATTTGTTTATGAGTTACTTGTATTTCTTTCCATCTAAACTGCCTATTCTTAATCTTTGCCCATTTCCTATTTATATTAAATTGATTTGTCTTTTTATTTATTTATTTATTTATTTATTTATTTATTTATTTATTTATTTATTGTTAGTTTCAGGTGTACAGAACAATGCAATAGTTACCCTTGCAGTGGATGGGGGGTGGGGGGTTGTTACTATTGGGTTGCTGTTTTAACTCAACAAGTTCGAGTCCCATCAGGCAGTGCTTACATCTTAGCTATTAGAAAGCTTTTCTCCCCTCCTCGCCATAAATGCCACCCAAGTACCATATCCTGGTCAGCCTGGTTCAATGTGGAAGTCCCCTTTGCAGGACCTCTCAGCATGCAAATGGAGCAATACCTTACTGAGCTGGGGACTTGTACATTAAGGAAAAGAAGGCCGACTCTGCTCCCCATTAAACAACATGAACAATGGTATTCTGGACTGCTCATACACCCAAGGCTCTTTTTATCTAGTCTTTTTGTCAGTAACAAAGATGGGCTTTCCCTCAACATCCCCCATTCCACCTCACACCCAAAACACTAGAAGTCTTAGCACTACCCATTAAACACATCCTGAGAAAAATCAAAAGAAGACTAAATTAATTTATGGCCTATTTTGTAAAAAAAAAAAAAAAATAGGTAGCAGTAATAGTGTCCCTTACCCCAACAAAATAGTTTAACCAGTGTGTCAGAGTTTTGATGTTTCCATATAATCAGAAGAGAACACATAAATTCACACATGACATTTTAAAACTATTTCACTTGACTGTGGAAGCAGCATAATCTGGTCAAAAGAATATGAGCGTCCATCCACTGTTAGCAGCTCCAGCAGAATTGAGAGCTTCCATTCCTACCTTTTAAAGTCTCAATTAAAAAACGAAACCACCAGAATTTTAAAATCTACATGGATAGTGGGAAGGTTACACACATAAAAGAAGCCAGTTGGTATCAAAAGAAAAATTTGCTCCTTTAAATCGTGAGAGTCTTTACATTAAATTATTCTCCTGAGACACTCAAGCACCCCCCAATAAGCTCAAATAACCCAAGTGCCCCTCAGGAAAATCCTAACACAATAATGACAGATATGGTGGCTGTTAGCATTGTCCCAACATCAACATGATATTGAACTAGGCACTCAATGTCTGCTAGCAAGAATAGGATAGAAGGTACTTTCACACTATTAAAATGTCCAGAATGGTTCTATTAAAAATTTTTTTCCTAATATGTTAGTCAATATGAACCCACTTCTTGGGGGTTTTGTCTGAGCTTTAGTACTCAAGTATGGGTATCCCATCACCTATACCAGTTCAATTATTCTAAAGTTGTCTAAGAATGGCAGAGCGTCATCTCAAAAGATGAAGGTGTTTTCTTCCCTTGGAGGCAAATTAACTATAGCCTAAATAAGCGCATAGCTTGTGAGCCTGATTCAGTTTTATAGTGTAAATTTATGCTACCAAGTCACAAAAATTGGATATTGTATGTGTATGTACGTGTGTATGTAGCAGTTGGCATCTTCACACACATATCATACCCCAATAATAGAAAGATTAAAAAGATAATACATATTCCAAAACTGTATTCAATATTACTATAATATTTTCCAAAATCATTGCAAACACTTTACAGGGAACTGTCTTAACCAAGCGTGTCTTTTTTTTATTAGCCAGTTATACCTCCTGCGTTCTGCCTGTTGGGTTTTGGTTCTTTCTTCCTCCTGTTGCTGTCGCTTAAATTCCAGTAACTCACTCTAGGAACAAGAAGAGTTTTAAAATATGGTTTTCTGTTAACGTGTTTGTACAGAAAATACCCAAATCAGTTACATATTTAACCTTAGTTTGAGCAATATTTCAATTTTTGAAACTTTTACTTAAGTACAATTTCCATGTAAAATTATATATATATATATATATATATATTTGATATATACATATAAAAAATAATTGTACCTTAGTCAAATAAAAGCTCTGTGAGTGTAAAATTGTGAGATTAAAATGCATGTTCAAGATATTAGACCAAGAGTTCCAACACACAGAGAGGGAAACACAATGTGTGTCAAACTTACCTGTGTCTTACAAAGAAGAACAAATCAAATTAGGTCCTTAAGGAATGTCACACAATACTTTTTTTTTTTTTTTGGTCATTTCTCTAGCATTTCTTTCCCAACAAATTCGAAGCCACTTACAAACAAATACTGGATTCAATTCTGTAGTGCAATTCCATTTATAAAACATTTTCCATCCTGGAGAATAATCACTCAACCTATTATTAACTAGTTACTTCTAATATTAACAGAACTTTGAACTCCCTGGATGTGTGTGGGGGGGAAGGGCTATTTTGCTTCAAACAGATCAGTTACTACAACTAAATCTCTAGCTTCTGACATTCTGATTATCCTCTTCGAAGAGGCAACTTAAGTTCCAAAGTCAGTTACTATGTTTACAGTATTAAACCAAAGAACTAGGTGGCAGGATTTCTCTAATGCTCAACTACCTCCCCTGAGGCAGACTGAGTTTTAACCTCATTTCAAAGGCAGAAAAGGGCAGAGGGAAAAGTTATCAGGCCTGTGTCATACTCATAAGTTAGTACTGAGTCAGAGATTCCCTAGCAGAGAAAATACTGCCATGTCTTGATCAGTGCATTCCAACACCTGTACTTTTTTCAACCCCAAAACTTTGTTAATGAAAAGTACAAAATGAATTCAAAGTTCAGATTGACATTTTATTTTTTTAACTTTATTCAATGGCCTTCTGACATTCTATAGTACCCAAAATAAAAATACTGGTTTCTTATACTGTGATATTCCAAATATACCAGTCAATAATCTCTAAAGTGCATTATTTCATTCTAATTCCTATCGGGCACCAACAACAAGGGAAAAACTAGAGTTTTCTAAATAACTGAATGATATTCATTCAATCATTCCACAAGCATTTATGAAACACCAAATGCCAAGCCTTGTGCTAGAGACTCACTTTCCCACAATAGCACAAAGTCTTTTATTTCATTTCAAATTTTCTCACTATAAGTACATAATTTTAAGAGTCCACCAAGTAACAGTACTACTTATTAGTACTCTCAAGGCTTACACCAAAATAAAGACACTCCAGCCCTCCCCCGTGCTCCCACCACAATCACTTTCAGTTGCTGCCTATGGTTTCATCTATCAATTACCTCCTCCTTAATAGCATGCATATTCTTTGATTTCTAATATTTTAGAAAATGCATTATCTTTTGACTTCCTACTATGGAAGACGATTTATATTTCTATTATCACCTCCACCCTAATTCACACTTTCCCTCCCAGTACACCACCATCCTCCTCCCTTATCCTTACAACTCTTTTTTTTTTTTTTCAGCTCTCAGTGTGGTGCTGGAGGGGGCTCTAGGGATCTTACACTCCTCTTTTAGACTTCCAATTCATCCTCCTCCTTTCAACCCTAGCCTTCAGGGGGACGAGCTGCCTCCAATTCTTGACTCTTGCTTCAGAACTACTTCTTGCAAATGAGCTCTGGCTTTTCCTTCTCTACTTTCCAGCTTCCAAATTTTGCTATATCTTTTCTTTGTTGCAGTCTCCTGGCCTGTTATTTTGTTCTTACTGGCCTTTTGAAAAAAGAATTTCCCTTTATTGTATTTTCAGTGGGATTTGGGAAGAGAAGCCCTGAGAGAAGCAAACAAAATGTTTTGAAGGCGTGATGTTTAACCATAAGACCTTAATATTTTCAAACAAGAATTTCACCACAATTCTGTTACTGAATCCTCACAATTCTTCAAGATAGGCAGGTAAATAAAGCATCATTTGATGAATGAATGAATGAATGAATGAATGAGCATTATTATGCTTGTTTTACAGGTGATGAAACACAGGGTCAGAAACTCAGTTTAATTAAATTGTCAAGAGCTGAACAGCTCATTAGTAACACAATAAAGACTAGGGTTTTGATTTTCTTGTATCTAATCTTCTGTAAGACACATCCAAATAGGTGATTAAAATTGGGGATGATTTTTCAATGGTTTATCATACTCAATTATAACAGCCATGTCTAGAATTAGAGGACCCATTTAGATTCAAAAGTTCTAGAAAAACAGAAAGCCCTCTGGTCCAAGGATGCTAATTCTTTTCACTTGCATTAACTCATTTCTCTAAGGAGCAACTTCTGGTATCCAGCCCATCGTAAGTTTAATAACATAAACTCTGAACAAACTAAATTGTTATCAGTTCTAGACATGAGATAATGATTTTTTAAAACTATAAATGCATATAATATGTATATAGTATATACATAGTATTACATATGTCTTTAAAATAATTTTTAAGATAATCTTTTCAGCCTCAGCAAAAATGATCCTGAAATTTTTCTGGGAAAAATAAATATGAGATCATAGCCATAAAACAAACAAACAAACAAACAAACAAAAAACCTTTAAAAAAAAAAGTAAAATGAGGGAGAACTAACTTCATCAACTATTAAATGATAAAATTACACTAATTAAAACAACTTGAGTCGAGGAAAAGACGTAATCCACGGACATACAGTTTACCATAAAGTTGTTGTGTTAAACCCACAAAGGGGAGTTCAATGGACGCTGATAGACTAGCAACAATTTATTTTTTATATTAAAATAAATGTTATGGAGGTCTAAGATTTGAATCTAAAAGATGGAACCATAGACATTTTCAAAGGAGACTTGGGTAAATTTATTTATAAACTTGGAGCGAGAAAGGTCTAGAAAACATAAAGGAAAAAGATTGATACATTTCACTGAATGAAAATTCAGAGTTTCCAATGGGAAAAAAAATACCATAAACAAACTCAAAAAAAAAGTTAAATTTTTATACCACACATAGGCTGATTCAATTATTCTTTCATTCATTCATCCATTCATTCAACCATATCGGTATGAGTCAGGCTTGGATCTATATGCTGGAGATACAATAATGAACAAGACAGATAATATCCTTGCTCCTTAAGAGTTTATATTCTAGGGCCGGCCGAGTGGCTCAGTTGGTTAAGAGCTTGCTCAAAAGTGTGAGCTCTGAGCAACAGCGGTTCGATTCCTGGCCCAAGCGGAACTGTCGCTGAGCTGCCAACAGGTAGCAGGATGGCTCAGCTAGAAAAAAAAAAAAGGAGAATTTATATTCTAGAATAAAGGAAACCATAAATAAGTGATATGCAGAGGATTAAACATGCTGAGTGAGGCTCATTGGTTCAGTTACTATTAGACAGAGGCTAAAGGAAGGCCTGAGAAGGTATCTAAAGACCTCATACAAACCAGAAAGGGAAAAACCACCACCAGAGAGAAAAAGGGCCAAAGGATAGGAAGAAGCAGTTTACAGAAAAGCTACATATTACCTATGAATTCAAAATGGTCACCACCTTCACACATAATCGTGGAAATATAAATTGAAACAATGAGATAGAAACTTTCTCCTGTTATACGGACAAAAAGAAGAAAAGTCTGACAGATCTTCAGGTACATTCAAGTACTTTGGGGGAGTGTCTAAGTTAGAGAAAACTAATTTAGTTTTTGGAGGACAATTTAGCAATAAGATCAACGTGTAAAATGTGCACATCCTTTGCAGACGTGTTCAAAGAGGTCTGTATAAAGACAGTCACAGTTGTGTTACTGAACCAGTAAAAGTTCAACAGAAAAGTCATAATGTCCATCAATAAGGAGCTGACACAATAAGTTAGATTGTCTGCACAATGGAATACTATGCAACAGTTACAAAGAATAAAGCAGGTGGCGGAAGGGGAAGGCGGCAATGGAGACATCTCTTAAGATATGTTAAATGATAACAGACAGGTTCAGAGCAGTTTTCCTGGGACTTCTCCACGTAAAGAAAAAAGGTACGCTTATATCCATTTCAATTTGTATGTGCTGGTGTACATCACATTTAAAACATTTTTATGGAAAAACGCACACTAGCACATTAACTGTAATTATCACTAGGGGGAGGCACATGGAGGGTGGATGGGCACGGCAGGAAGTTTAAACATCATATACCACTTCAGGTTAACTTTTGAGCCATGCCAATATATGACTTCCCCCATTTCTGTTTCCTTATGGTTTTCTTTGTTTAAAAATCCCAATGGGTACAGTGTTTAATACTTGAAAATGTAAAAGAGCAAAACACTACACGATGATGCCAAGGACTGTCAAGGAGGACTCAAAGACGACAGGGACAGAGAAACATGCAGCATCCACATTGCAGAGGACAAAACCCAGAGCAGGAGAAAAACGGGGATGGGCCGCTGATGAGGCCTCACCACGCAAGGACACGGCTGCAGATGGCGGGAGAGGATGGTCCAGCATCACTGCTCGCAGGGTGATTATCCCATAACTAGCAGAGCATATTTACGAGGGAGAGGCTGGCTTTCCTTTGGTACCACTGAGGATGCATCCACACATCTTATAAGCATATTCTCGCTTCACTTACTGGGTTCTCACATACGAGTGCACTATGCCTCGTTGGATAGATACAAAGTAAGTCATCTCTGTGCCAAGGACTGAGCTTTGCAAATAAGGAAATCAAAATGCTCTCAGCAGGAGGGACGGGACGCACAGCATCTGAGGCTCCGTCCGGTCCTTTCGCACTCAGCACATATTTGTTGAGCACCAGTCGTGATGAGCACCTGGATTCATACTAAAGGTACAGACGCAAATAGACGCAGCTCCACCCTGAAGGATATGACAGTTCAATGAGGGAGATCTCCTCAGGAACAGCCATGATGCAAAGCAGAAGGA